TTACCAATTGTTTTTAAGCATTGATTAGTATAATTATTTTGTTCAATGACTTTTTTAATGTCAGGGTCGGAGCCAGGTAATTTAAATGGGGAAGTTGAAACTTCAGCACCTTGATGTTCAATGAGTATGTTTTCTAATGGAGGATGATTAGAACTAACTGATGTAGTCGGAGATGTTTTCCATTTATGTTTTGTAATGGTATTAATCTTTTTTGTAATAATTGTCAACATATTCTAATAGAGGTAATACAAAACCATATTCAATCATAAAATCATACCATTGTTTAGTAATGTTGGTCATTTGAGCAGAATTATATTTAGCATAATAAGCATGTCTTTGCGTTCTATTTGCCTTAAATTTGAAGTCAATAAGTAATTTATCTAGATCAGGTTTAAAATCTTTTTTGATTGTCACTAATTGGGGATTGACTGGACGTATAAATTCTTCAAAATCAGTTTGAGTTGGAGAATTATTAGAAGCAATTTCTTCTTCAGGTAAATGTGTGTTTGTAGAATAAACAGGTTTACTAATTTGAGAGGAAGTAGTATTATCAATGCCTTTTAACTTATTAGTGGAAGGTTGACCAAGATGGATTTGACTATTTTTGCGAAATAAGGGAGTATTAAATATTTCATTTTCAGTTTCAATGCCAGTCGAAACACTAGATGTACTATGTCGAGAGGATTGACTACGATTAAATTTAATTCGGACAGAACTATCATTATTGTTAGATATCTTGGATATCTTGAATTGAGGATTATTGTTGATTATGTTTGTAATTCTCATTAAAAGTAACCCATTGATCAAGTAGATCAATATTTTTCCATGCAATCATTTAAGGAACATTAATATTGGATTCATGATTACTACTGCTTTGAATTAATAGAGTTTGATCTTTAGGACTCTTGTGTAAAGCATGAACATTTAAATTAGTTTGCATACATTTATAATGAACACGATATATTAAAACAATATTATGAACTTTTTCTTTCATGTTAGTAAATGAACCATGTAATTGAATGTTTAATGTTAATCTATCTCAAATATGTGGATCACGTAAACTAAGTATAAAATCAGGAAAACAATTAAAATGTACTGGACCTTTATGAAGACCAATTTCCATCATGCCCATTAAACTATCATTGTAATTAAGAAAGCGAGCATCGCGTAAGCATAGTAAAACAGAGGTATTTTTTCCTACCATGGTTAATGGATTAACACCAACTTGAATTAAACCAATATGCATAAAATTGTAACCATTATTTAAATGTCTTTTGATTAACTTAGCATCAAACAGTCGGCATGTTTCTCTAGATTTTTCTAAAGTATAAACTTGTTCAATGGTTTTAACATGCAAAGTTACTTTAAAAACATTCTGTATAAAAGTAGTTTTATAAATTTCTTTAATTGGTAGTCTAGGTATATTCCATCCTGCATCAATTTTATCATTTTGTATTTCAACATCTTCTTCATTTATTACTAATCCTTGGTTAGGTATTGAGGGCAAAGTTGTTGTTGACTTAGAACTGACTGATGAGTTACTTCTAAATAATCGATTCATTGTTTTGTTTAATTAATCAGTTTTACAGATATCTTAATACATACCCTATTCTAGTCATGTTATTACATACCAAAGTGGTTTGAGTACAGACCCTATTCGGGAGACCCTTATGTCCGACACTGCCTAACCCTAAGGACTTACTCTGGACAGGGAACGAAAGTGGGTGACTTAAACTAGGTGGATAAACACAGACCGATCTCGTCGGTGATTAAGATGAACTGAAAACTAGATTAATCAAATAAACAACAAAATTGATTAATCGGAAGAAACAAAGCAGTTAGAAACAGAATATAATATAACTATGACTCTGATACCAAAAAGGCGGAAGCAGCAAGTAGAATGAAGAAAATGAATCACAACATTATTAATTTGATTAGGTAAAAAATTGCATCATAGGGAATCTGGGAACTGGAATGTAACGTCAATGGATTGCAACTTCAAGCATATATTTATTTTAAGCACATTAGTTGTAACGTGAGCATCTTTCTCTTTCACAACAGCCAATAATTATTTCAAATATGCTTTTTCTGATATTAAGTTGGAAACATGAAAACAAAAACAAAAATAAATTTGCTCACTTTCTTCCAAATTTCATTTAAGATATGTGTGCGCATGATTCTACAGGTCATCAGCATATATTCTAGCGTTTGGTGCAAAAGTGATCTGCATTAATTTTACATCTAATTTTTTTGATAATTTGATAAATGAAAAAAAAAAAAAGAGTTAAATTTGATAACAGTTAGGAGTTAATGATATAGACATTTTTTTTTTAAATACGAAAAAAAAAATTACAAATAATGGCGGAGTTAGGATTTGATTCATGAGGTGCACTATTACTCCGTGGGGATATCAATTACAAAACTTAACTAAGGCCTCGTTTGGTAAATGACTTTTTTAGTTAAAAAGTCAAAAATTTATTAAAAAAATCAAAAAGCTAACAACTCATACCAAAAAGTCAAAGATTTTCTTTTCTCTCTACTTTTTGCACATCTTTTCGTAAAAAGCTAAAAAGTCATCCCAAACATACTAATTTTTTTTAGCTCATATTTTAGCCAAATAGCCAAAAAGTTACTAAATTAGCTTGTTCCCAAACGAGGCCTAAATCTAATTTTTTTTAGTGATAGAATAACCAGAAAGATTAAAGTGATGTCAAAATTATGTGACTTAGATATGTTGTCATTAACTAATTTTTTTATTTGCTATTTTAGTTACTAAATATGAATCAGGATCCCTTCCTTGAAATTCTTCATTGACTTCTTACTTGTTAGGTTATTGGGCTCACTTTTAGGCATAATTTCAATGATCCGAATCGTTCACATTTTAAAATTTATTGAGTATATCAGATCTGTAAAAAATCAAGTTGATCGGATATCAAAAAGTATGTGTTCGGAAAATTGTTTATTAAATTTTTAAAAAAAATAGTTTTTAGTTCGATGATCCGAACATATGCATTCTGATATCTGATCAACTTGATTTTTTGCAGGTATAATATACTCGACAAATTTTAAAATATGAATGATTCAGATCATCGAAATTAGGCCTAAAAGTGGGTCTAATGGCTTAACAAATAGGAAGTCAAATAAGAAATTCAAGAAGGGGATCCTGGTTTACTAAATATGATAATAATCACAATTTAAAATGTAATAACATGTATACAAAAAAGAAAAAGAAAAAGAAAAAGAAAAAGAAGAAGGAGATAGATAGATGTGAGAGAAAAATAAGAGAGAAATGAGAGAGATAGAAATAATCATAATAAAATATTTTGATAAAATTAAACATTTATAATGGTAAATTATAAAGAATTTATTAAAAAGAAAAATTAGATATAAACAGTTTGAAACATATTTAAAAATTAAGTTAGAATTAAATGAAAAAAAATTTAATTAAAGATAAAGTGTAATTTTCAAAAAAATGAGCGTAGCACGTGCCGTTCTAGACTAGCTCCGTCCCTGATTACAAAATTCTGAAACTTTTTATTATGAAAACAACTATTCAAGAAAGCTTATTTTATTACGAGCCTCGTGGCTTTGGTTACCCCTATAAAAATTGCGAGCGGATCCTCTAGAGTTAATTCTCTAGAGTGATCTCTTAAAATAGTTGATCGAACAGTTCAGAATAAAACTCACTAAAACGACGTCGTTTTGGTAAGTATTTTGAAAAAAAAAAAAAAAATTAGATTTTTTGAAGCTCTGTTTGCAGATCAACAATGGCTTCGATTCATCATCATCATCATCACAACCCAACAACCCAATCAAACTTTCTTTCAACTCCGTATCACAGCAATAACTCTACCCCACAATCACAACCCTTCGACAAAGATCAAAGCCTCAACTCTTAAGAATCAGATTGATCAAATCAAAACACAGACAACAACCAGTATCAGCAAATTAACCTTCTCTGCAATTCTTCATCATCATCACAACCCAACAACCCAAATCAGATTAACTCTCTCTCTCAAATCCATTCTCTCCATCACCCTCCTCGCTACCATTGTTGATCTGCAAAAAAAGTTTCAAAAAATCTGAATTTTTTTTTTTTTTTTTTCAAAATACTCACCAGTGGGGGAGGAGGGTGATGGAGAGAATGGATTTGAGAGAGCAATCGTCAGGAGAAGTCAGTATAATTTGCCCAACATTTTTTATGCGAGCGGATTCTCTAGAGTTAATTCTCTAGAGTGATCTCCTAAAGTAGTTGATCGAACGGCTCAGAATAAAACTCACCAAAACGACGTCGTTTTGGTGAGTTTTATTCTGAGCCGTTCGATCAACTACTTTAGGAGATCACTCTAGAGAATTAACTCTAGAGAATCCGCTCGCATAAAAAATGTTGGGCAAATTATACTGACTTCTCCTGACGATTGCTTATAGATTACACAGCTTAAGAGGGTTGTTTGGAATGATTTAAATAAATATATTTTTTATTTTTTTATGAAAAGATGTGTAAAAAAGTAGAGAGGTGATGTGATGAAAAAAAGATAAAAAGATAAAAAGATGAATTATATTAGAATTGCCAAACTTGACCTTAATAATATGAAAAATTAACGATTGCTTATAGATTACACAGCTTAAGAGGGTTGTTTGGAATGACTTAAATACATATATTTTTTGTTTTTTTATGAAAAAATGTACAGAAAAGTAGAGAAGTGATGTGATGAAACAAAGATAAAAAGATAAAAAGATGAATTATATTAGAATTGCCAAACTTGACCTTAATAATATGAAAAATTAACACGGGCCTCCATAATGGGCCTAAAATGTTGTTTCGGTTAACAAACATAAGGAAATAACAAATTTATCCTTCATAAATCATATGCTTTTACTAAATTACCCTTGTTCATCTGACTTATATCCTTCACTCCTAGCCCCATTGTGTGTGCTCCATGGTCTAATCTAATCACCTAAAACTCCACACCATCATTTGTAAACCCCTCAGATTATGATTGACAAGTAACTTTACCAATCAAATATTGAAAAACAAATCTGAACAAAAATTAGTATATCCTTTTATATACAAGGTAAGAAATGTCTTCCTTCAAAAGGCCAAGACACATGAAAAACCTCCAGCTTGAATAGCATGAACTAAATAAAAAAACACTCTACCCTCCATAAGGATCTGTTTCTGTTTTACAAGTATGAAACACCATCACTAAATGCTGTGCTTGATATGAAAAATAAAAAAGAAAAAAAAATTGAAAATAATTGTTAGCTGCACAAATGTATCAATCATGATGTCACTGCAATACCGTGTTTGGGGATCGTCCATTGCAACTATCCAAAACTATTTCAAACAAATCGCCTTCAGATTCCTCATCAAAATCAAATGCTTTGTTGTTACCACCATTGTTGTGGCCACTTCTAGTGGTAGCACATCGGTTTAGCCACTGCGAGTCGATTCTTCCCATTGAGAAAAGCTCTTTGCTGTCATCATAGCCCAATGCTGGCGAATTCGCTAGGGGGCCGATGAAGCAGGGGTTTGGAGTCCTTTGTGCATTTGCAGGTGCATATTTGAAACTGCTCTGTCCAAAATTAACTAAAATCGTGGTGTCGGTGTTGGCTGCCAATGTTGGATAGAGTGGAGTTCCAAATTCCTCGGATTTGCAAGTGATTACGTGTGTAAGTTCTGAATCAACTGTGAAAAAGACTTTTCTCTGGCTCGGATTGTACCCACAGCCAATCACCTTGTTTGTTTCTCCCCATTCTTGATTTTCAGATTCGAACACAAGTTTAGTTCCTGAAATAAGAGTAGCAAATGAAACATTTAAAACTAGCAAAGAACACATAAACCGGTTAGTTTTCATTAATTATTCACTACTAACTCATTGGAGGTCTTAATTGTGTGTTGTCTAGCCTCTTGGATTGTGAGAGGTTTAATTATTCGGTACAATAAACGTGCCTTGCATTACTATCATTTGGAGAGGGATGTGCTTGAGACGTGTTTTAAATTTAATTGTAATTTTATTTTATTTTTTTAATAAAACACACACAGTTACCGAAAAAATTATACAAATTTGTTGACCTCATGATTGATGATGGACCCTCCCTCAGTGCTTATTTGGTGAGAAAATCACTCACTTTTCAGGTGCCCAGTTCCTCATTGTTTATGCACATTTTATGTCATGAACTTGAAGTGCTAACTATTGTTCCATTAAATAGACAATGCCCTTTCCTAAGAAAAATAATAAATAAACAAAATAGACAATGCCTAGGGTCTACAAAGAGGTTTGTAGCTTACTTTTGACCCTTGATTCTTCTATAACAGGTTTTATTACTGACCCATGGTCCCAAACTCGCTGGATATAATTTAGAAAAAATACTTGAGAGCACTAAATATGAAACTCTAAAACCGTTTTCAATCTTGAATTAAATTTAGCATTAAATTTAAAATTTGGTAAAAAAAATATTTTTTTATGTTCTAACGGTTTCACCAAATTGATATCAAATTAAAATTTCACCAAACGTTTTACCAAAATGAGGACAGGCTCCGTATTTTACCAAAATACTGTGCATGACCGTTGGGGAGACCAACCGGTCGACCACCAAATGGTTTAAACAGTTCTAAAAAAAAGTTCAAATAGTTAAAAAAAATATATATATATATATTGTTTTCGCCTTACCGGTCGACCAGCCGGTCGACCACTAAACGATTCAAATAGTTCAAAAAAATTGGTTCAAATAGTTCAAAAAAAAAAAATCCTCTTACCGACCGACCAACCGGTTGTCCCCGGAGCAAATTTGATAAAAAGTGAAGCATTAGAACCAGTGGTATCAAATTGAGGAAATCATCTTTTTTTTTATCAGATTTGATGAAAAAAGAAGTTCAGGGTTGGAGATGCTCTAAGGAAAGCTCTAGTGAACAGGCATCCCATAATGTGATGGCTGTATTTGTGTTTCCTTTCTTTCTTTCTTTTTCTTTTTTTTTTTTGCATTTCCAACTCATTAGAGCTGATTTAATGCTCTCTTTTTTTTAACTTTGAATCAGTTCTCATAATTTAGAGGTTGTTTTGGTGCATTTTTTTTGTATTTTTAATTCATCAGAGCTGATTTAGTGCTTTTTTTAGAGTTCTAAATCAACTCTCATAATTTAGAGGCTGTTTTGGTGCATTTTATGGAGCAGTTTATAAAGTTTTTTTTGTTTTTTTGTTTTTTTGGTTATGTTGAGTATTTGGCATAATTTTCGCTTATAACTTGAGTATAAGCTATTTAATTAAGTACAAAATAACAATATATATTAATCTGTGTTTAGGAGGGAAATAAGTAAAAAAAAGAATTAATTATCAAAAAACATAAAAAGAGATGCCTTTTACATTTTATTATCAACTTTAAACTTGATAAAAATTACACAAAACAAGTCACTCTTATTCTTCCTGAGGCCACTCACAAAATTTACATCAAGTAATTATTTGCGATCGCTTCTTTAACCCTATTTATAGTTTTTCTCAAGCAAAATAGTCGATAATCATAAACTAAAAACTAAAAACACATATTTCCTCAATTCAAATTTAAAAAAAAAAAAAACACAGACACACATATTTCCTAATTTGTAAATAATTTTTTAAAAAACTTATTTAAATTATTTTTTTCTCATAAACTTGTAGAAATTGCTTCAAATTTATAAAATAAAATAAAATAAATTCTAATAAATGGTACCAAACAAAACCATAGGTATACGTGGAAGATGAGACTACAAGATCAAAAGAGCAGAGAACATACCGTCGAGATAAACAGAGCCATCGGAATTGAAGCCAATGGAAGCCAGATAGCTACCGGGAAGCTTCAGAGGCAGAGAGCCTCCTCTTGTAAGCCCCACCGCCAAACCAACCGCTTCTCCTTTTACATCGTCTCTACCACCACCGCCGAGTCTCACTTCTTCCAACTTCTTATTCCCATGAATCAGCGACTCCGAATCAGCTTTCGCATTGTAATTCTCTTGAATTAGCTTCGCTTTCTCTCCTTCACTCTTCCTAATTTTCTTCCTATAGTTCCCACCAAATGGGTCTAAATCATCTTCATCAGATGATAAGATTGTGATCTCAAAGTAGGCCTCTTGAGGGAATGAAGAGGTTCCCAGAGGAGGACCAGGTAGAGGCAAAGCGGTTCGAATCACAGAGGCCGCCATTGAAGAATAATTCGAATTGAGCTTTTTCGACCCAGAACAGAGCCTGATTTTCTGCATGAAATCGGCTGATCCTGGGCTGACTTCCCAGCTTATGTCCACCTCCATTTCTCTTCCTCGATCGCCTGCTGCGCAGGCACCCAGAAGCGTTGACCGGGTCGATCTGATTGAGGGTGAAGATGTGTAGGAGGTTGTGAAAGCGAATCGTGACCATCCATTCTCGACGGCGTCGGTGATCAGAGAAGGGTGATCGGCCCAGCTGAACAATTGTTTCGAAATCGAAACGTCGCGTCTGAAAACGTAGTAATTGGGTTTTCTCTTGTTGTCCAGATCGAGACTCACATGATGGTGGAGTTTTGCAATCCCTGTTTGAAGAGTCTCTGTTTTTTCTCTATTGGGTTCTTGTATGGAATTAGCTTTTTGTTGTTTGGAAGAAGAATAGCGGCGAAAGAGGAAGACGAGGAGGACTAAGACGACGGAGGATATGGCCGCCACAACCACCGCCACCGCCGCCACCGTTATATGTAACCATCCATGCATCCCTCACCACGGATTGAATTGCCTCTTGACCTTTCTCTGTTTTTAATGGGTTGTGTTGTGGATCATACAAAATAGGTGAGTAATAAAGGAAAGAGGAATTCAAACAGGATGATGATGATGAAGAAGAAGACTGAGGATGGAGAAAGGGTGGACTAAGTCCGGTTCAAGAAAGGCAGGAGGAGAGAGAGAGAGAGAGAGAGAAACGAGTAAAGTTGTATAATGGAAAGACGAAATTGTTGAGAGATGACATCCTTTTAATCAAAACAAAACCGACACCCTTATTCACATTAAAGAACGCCTTGGTCGATTAATTTTATTTTGAAAAAATAATATATATATATATATATATATAAGCTCATTTTATAAATTTATATTTTAAGTTTAATAATGTGCAAGAGTATTTTTATGTTGTATTTTTTATTTTATATTAAATTTGAGTAAAAAATTGAGTAAAAATTTATCCGATATCTCGAGCTCCAACGACCTGGCATCAAATCACCGGTCGACGGGGAGAATGATCGGACGGATGTCTGGCCGATCGACCGATCAGTGTAATTTTTACTCAATGTATTGTGGGTAGTTTTTCACAGAAGTGGTTATCTAGGAGGACAACCAGCTGGTTATCCGGTTTCGTTGTACTACCTACAACTCCAATGTCTTTAAACAGTAAATTGGTGAAAACCACATACATCCTCAATTTGATGAAAACTATAACATATCTTAGATTTTTTTTTTTTTTTTTTGGGTACATCGGAAATAAAACAAAGAAGGACTATATCCTACCACCCTCCTGGAAGAGATGAACAATATCCGCAACAAGTAATGGGCGAAGTTCTGCAGGGGGTTCATTTACAATAAGCAAGTCTGTCAGTTGATAGTCACCTAACTTGGCCATTGCATCCGCACAAATATTAACTGCAGGGGGTTCATTTACTATAACATATCTTAGATTTGACATTGGTTTGATGAAACCTTGAAGCAACAAGAAGTTATTTTTTTCACTAAATTGAAATTTGATGAAAGAAAAGGTGTTAGGATGGGAGATAATCTAAGTAATATGATTGAGAAGATATGAAAAAATATATTATCTTAAATATTCTAATTGATTGCTACATTATTAATTTCAAAATTGAGCCTAGTTTTTGAACTTATATAGCAATATTCTTTTATTTTAAAAGGGAGTTGTGCTACTAATAAAAAAATTAAATATAATATATATATATATATATATATTATTTGGTGAAATTTATAGAATTATTTGTAATATTTTATTGAAGAGTCTGCTGTAAAATATTTGATACAATTTTACTTATAATTTATGGAATAAAAATATTATGAACATTATTTTAAAATTAATTATTTAAAAATTTGATAAATGAAATTTTAATGTTGTGTTTAGTTTATGAATTTTGGTAGAATTTTAGAAAAGAAAAATAAAAATGAAAGTGAAATATAAATAAAATATAACTATATTTTACACATATTTTTTTCCACTCTCTTTTTAAATCCTTTTTTAAATCTATAAATCAAATTTAATCTTAGATTCTGAGGTGTGATTGTCAATTTTTAATTTGAAAAAAAAAAAACACAAATTTATTAATAGTCAGATTGATTTTGTAAATTAATTTCTATGTGATAAGACTTATTCTTTGGATGGATGGAGAGATGCTAATGGGTTTTTGGGTGGTTGGGCCTTCTAGAGGAACAAGAACATAAGAGGGGCAAAGACTTTCAATTATTCGTTAATTTTGTTTTGTCTCATATACTATTAAGGATTCTGAGAGGAGATGTAAAGCAAAGTTGGGATAATGTTTTGAGAAAATTGAGGAGATTAGAATCAAAAGTAACACACAAATTTTATAGATGGCCACGCTGGTAGTTTTTTGTCTACGGCAGTTAATCCTCGTTTGTTACCTGTCACTTTCTCACTTGCTTTTTTCTTTCACTTTTATCATCTTCAAGCTTTATTATAAAGAAAATATTCAAATAATAAATCTTGTATTTCAAAATTTCGTGCTCTTTATTCTAATTTACCCACATTAACATTTTGGTGGTAATTTTGCAATAAAGAAATCTTGAGAGGCAATTGTACATTCTCAAATTTAGAAGTACATTAGAATAGAATAGAGAGGCCAACAAAATAAAATAAAACAAAATAATTAAATAAAAAAAGGGAAAGAAATCCATGCCGAATATTCACATAGGTGTGAGGTTTCCGGTATTTATATTCATGAAAATATTTTATTATTTTTTTATAATTTAATTGTGTATATTTAGAAGTGCTTTTGATAGTAGAGGGGTTGATCTTGATTCTTTATTTTTGTGATTTTTACTGTCTACTACCAATGAAAAACTTGTTAGGTGTTCAGGAAATGATTTTTTATTTTTTTAAAATAATATTGGGTGTTCGAATCAATTTATGTGCGTCTCAACTAAATCTTGATATCCTGAAATTAACGACTTGTACATTCTCAAATTTAGAAGTACATTAGAATAGAATAGAGAGGCCAACAAAATAAAATAAAATAAAATAAAATAAAATAAAAAAAGGGAAAGAAATCCATGCCGAATATTCACATAGGTGTGAGGTTTCCGGTATTTATATTCATGAAAATATTTTATTATTTTTTTATAATTTAATTGTGTATATTTAGAAGTGCTTTGATAGTAGAAGGGGTTGATCTTGATTCTTTATTTTTGTGATTTTTACTGTCTACTACCAATGAAAAACTTGTTACGTGTTCAGGAAATGATTTTTTATTTTTTTAAAATAATATTGGGTGTTCGAATTAATTTATGCGCGTCTCGACTAAATCTTGATATCCTGAAATTAACGACAGAATAAATTTTCTGATGATGATTTAACACGGTTTTACAAGACATACATTCTAAGAGTAACACAATGCTTCACCTTATGATTGTTAAGCTCTATTTTCACATCAAAAGTTATAATTCCCTTATTGAGTGGGGGGAAAAATTAAATATGAAACCAAAAAAAAAATTCATATATATATATTGGAATCGTGGTGTCAACACCATTGATACAAAGGGCACAACCTTGCAAAAATTAAGCATACATACATACATACATATATATATATATATATTATCAACATTCAAATTCAATTACAGTAACCCCACCATTTAGCTACCTAATGAATTTTAGGTTATCTCCAATGATGACGATTTAACAACATAAGAGACAATTATCTAAGCTATCAATTCTCATCCTCAGACCAACACTTGTGATTAAAAAAATAAAGTGATTCTTGTCTGATTCTTTGCACCTCTAATTTGTAATTTTTAGGATGACTAGATATGTCATAATTCTTGAGATAATTGCCATGAGTCGAGAAGCAATAACTGGATTAAAGGGATAAACCAGAAAAAGTTGACTATATTATATATCTTCATCATCAAGGATTCCTTCTAAGCAAATAAGTAAATGATGGAAATAGTGGTTAGCATAGGAGACAAATAAAAAGGAAAAAAAAAAAAAAGGTTGTTAAATGTGACGCATAGAATATGGGAATTCAATTACCAACCAACATAAAAGAAGGCATGATTTGGAGTCATTTTTGTGCCTCAAGTGCTTTTGGTGGAGTCCACGCTAGCCTCGTTTTTATAATTTGAATTATTTATTTGATAAGATTTGTCAAACAAATTACTTAAAAAATGAAGTTGATATGTTTGTCTTAACTAACAATTATGATTTTGAGAATATATTATATATTTTTTTTTATTACAAAAGTGATATGATCCTATGACAACTTATATCTCACCATTCAATTTTTTTGAATGAACAATTTATTTGACGAGCCTTATAAAACAAACAGTTTAGATCTTGGGGGTGAATCCCACAAGAACACAACGACAAAAAATAAATTAAAAACAAATGCATATCTTTGAATTAGGTGTGTGATATCAATAAGGAAATAAAGGTGGAGAGAGGAAAAATTTTTAAGGAGACTTACGTGTAGGTTTTAATAGGTGAATTTATTATTTAATATGTATTGTGAGAATTAATAGCATTTTCATCAAACATTATCAAAAAAAGTCACTAATTGTAATTTTCAGTGACAGTTTAAAAATTGTCATAAAAAATGTCATGAATTATAAATTATAGCGACAATTTAAAAAAAATCGTTACAAAAAAAGTTATTAATTTTTAATTTTTAGCGACAGTTTGAAAAATTAGTCACAAAAAAGTCACTAATTATAAATTTTTATTAAAAAAATGATAAAAATATCACTAATTGTCAATTTGTAGTGACACATGCAAAAGATTGTTACAGAAAATTATTTTTAGTGACAATTTACTAGGATTTATTTTTAATAAGATTGATCAGAATTAAATCTAACTATTAGAAACTATTTAGCCTGTTTGATTCCATTTTTCTTAAAACACTTTTCAGAAAATTTTACTTTTTTGTTTTTCTTATTTTTTTGTTTTTACTGAATTTTTAAAAATATTTTAAGCATTTTTTTTTTATTTTTTAGACACACCTAACATAAATACACCTAAAAAGTAAAAAAATTGTAAAAAAAATACTTTAAAAATTCACTAAATACCAAAAATATAAAAAAATACAAGAATTCAGTATATTTTTTTTGTATTTTTATGTATTTATTAATTTTTTAAAATATTTTTTCACAATTTTTTTACTTTTTAGATACATCTAAGTAAGGTGCATCTAAAAAAGTAAAAAAATATTTAAAATTTAAAAAATATTCACTAAAAACAAAAAAATAGGGAAACCAAAAAACTCAATTTTTAAAAAGTTTAATCCAAAAAACTCAAACCAAACGCACTGATTAGTAGTTTATCTAAATTTTAACATGAATAAAATGTAACCATGCATTGTTACTGATGTGAAATAGCAAGCAAAACTATAGATTGGCTGATTTTTTTGGTTATTTAGTTATTTTAGTTTGGGGTTAAAAAGTCTTGTTTGAGATAAATTTTTTGGCTTTTTTAACTTTTGTAACAGAAAAAATGAAATGATTATGATTTAAATGTGACATTTTATCTTATTAGGCTAAAAAGTTTATGGATACTTTTTTATAAATCCCTTTTCACCTACTTATATTCCACATTTTTATAAATCCTTTTTCACCTTCTTATGTTCTAATTAGTCATATGGGTGATATAGTTACATTGTGAATGTTCCGTGATGTGAATATTCATACCATTAATGTAAATGTTCATACTATCAATGTGAATGTTAACATATTAA